TGGGATTTGATGAACTCTTGGAAAGCATTTTCTGCATCCTGCTGGTTGTGGAAGCATTTTCTTTGCAAAAAGTTTTCGAGATGCTTCAGGTAGTGGTAGTTAGTTGGCAAGAGGCCAGGAGAACATGGTGAATGAGACAAAACTTTGTAGCCCAATTCGTTGAACTTTTGAAGCATTTGTTGTGTGATGTGTGGTCAGGCATTGTTGTGAAAAAGAATTGGGCTTTTTCTGTTGACCAGTCCCCACTCCAGGCTTTGCAGTTTTTGATGCATCTCATTGATTTACTGAGCATACTTCTCAGATGTAATGGTTTTGCCAGGATTCAGAAAGCTGTATTGGATCAAACTGGCACCAGACTACCAGTCACCATGACCTTTTTTTGGTCAGCACGTTTGGCTGTGGGAAGTACTTTGGAGCTTCTTCTTGGTTCAACCACTAAGCTGGTCATTGCCGGTTGTCATATAAAATCCACTTTTTGTTGCACATCACAATTCGATTGAGAAATGGTTCATTGTTGCTGTATAGAATAAGAGAAGATGACACTTCAAAATGGTGATTTTTTTTGAGACAGAATATTGCTCTGTCACTCAGGCTGGATGATCTCAGCTCACTACAACCTCTGCCTCCCTGGTTTAAGCAAGTCTCAGCCTCCCGAGTAGCTGGGTCTACAGGTGCATGCAGCCATGCCCAGCTAGTTTTTTCTATTTTAGTAGAGATGGAGTTTCACCATGTTGCCCAGGCTGGTTTCAAACTCCTGAGCTTAGGCAATCTGCCCACCTTGGCCTCCCAAAGTGCTGGGATTACAGGTGTGAGCCACTGTGCCCGGCCAAAAATGATGATTTTTAAAATTTTCATTCAGCTCATGAGGCACCCACTTAGGGAGTTTTTCCTCTTTTCCATTTTGCTTCAAATGCCAAATGACCATAGAATGATTGACATTGAGTTCTTCGGCAACCTTTTAGGTAGTTTTAAGAGGATCTGCTTCAGTGATTGCCTTCAGTTGGTCGTCGTCAACTTCCAATGGCCGGCTACTATGTTCCTCATCTCCAAAGCTCTCATCTCCTTTGCAAAACTTCTTGAACCACCACTGCATTGTGTGTTAGTTAGCACAGACATGCATTGTGGATGTTGTGATTGTCTCCACTGTTTCATGACCCATTTTGAACTGGAATAAGAAAATCGCTTGAGGCCAGGTGCGGTTGCTGACTCCTGTAATCCCTCAGCCCTTTGGGAGGCTGAGGTGGGCGAATCACTTGAGGTCAGGAGTTTGCGACCAGCCTGACCAACATGGTGAAACCCTGTCTCTACTAAAAATACAAAATTAGTTGGGCGTGTTGCTGCACGCCTGTAGTCCTAGCTGCTCGGGAGGCTGAGGTATGAGAATTGCTTGAGCCCAGGAGGCGGAGGTTGCAGTGAGCCGAGATCATGCCACTGTACTCCAGCCTGGGTGACAAAGCAAAACTCCATCTAAGCGGTGGGGTGGGGAGATATGTGACATAATCACATTTATTTAAGAATGTATTCTGGGGCCGGGCACGGTGGCTCAAGCCTGTAATCCCAGCACTTTGGGAGGCCGAGGCGGGTGGATCACGAGGTCAAGAGATCGAGACCATCCTGGTCAACATGGTGAAACCCCGTCTCTACTAAAAATACAAAAAATTAGCTGGGCATGGTGGCGCATGCCTGTAATCCCAGCTACTCAGGAGGCTGAGGCAGGAGAATTGCCTGAACCCAGGAGGCGGAGGTTGCGGTGAGCCGAGATCGCGCCATTGCACTCCAGCCTGGGTAACAAGAGCGAAACTCCGTCTCAAAAAAAAAAAAAAAAAGAATGTATTCTGATATCAAATGGCAAATTCCAACAATGCAGAAACCATAATTACTTTTGCACTCATCTAATACAATGTAGAGTGGAGTAATTACAAAGACTGTGTGACCTCCAGAGCCTAAAATACTTATCTGTCTCTTTATGGAAAAAGTTTTCCAGACCCTGGTATAGGCACTCTTAGCAGCCCACCCAGGTTCAAGGAGAGTGGGCTCCACTTCTTAATGCGGGAGTGTCAAGGTTTGGAAGAGTGTGTGGAAGTAGAAATATTATTGGAGCTATATCTGCCACAAGGAATGAGTAGTCATGTGGATGCCAAGGGGAAGAGAGTTGCTGGGAAAGATGAGAGCAGATTTTGTTGGGAGAATTCGGGGTGTGTTCATAGAACAGTAATGTGCCATTGTTGCTGGAGCAGAGTGGGCGAGTTAGAGAGTACAAGATGAAGGCAGAGAGGTTGCTGGGGGCTGAGTCATGCAGGGCTTCCTTACAGGCCATTATAAAGACATCAGCTTTTAGTGAGATGAGAGTCCATTGGAGAATTTTGGGAAGAGTAACAAGTTGTAATATATTTTTTGAGGATGCCTTGGCTGTTATATGGGAAATAGATTATGGGGACAAGGGCAGAAGCAGAGAGATCGGCTGTTATATCCAGACAAGAGAAGAGGGTGGCCTAGATTAGAGTGGTAAGAGTAAAGATTGAAGCAATTACTTTCTGATTCAGGAGGCTGAGGCGGGACGATTGCTTTTACCCAGGAGTTTGAGGCTCCAGTAAACTGTGATTGTACCACTATAGTTCATCCTAAGTGATAGAGCAAGACCCGTCTCTAAAAAGAAATAAATAAAAAAGAAGCAGCAGCAGCAATTGATTTCTGCATATATTTTTGAAGATAGAATTGGTAATATTTGCTGATGGATTGGATAATGGGGTAAGTAAGGAAGAGAGGAAGAAGTTAAAGATGACTCCAAGGTTTTTGTCTTGGGCAAATGAGATGGATGGAATTACAGAAAAGACTGATAAAAGGAGAAACAGATTTGGAGGAGGAAATCAGAACTTCAGTTTGGGACGTGGTAGGTTTGAATTGCCTATTTCACATGTTGATGGGATTGTCAAGTAGTTTCTCATTTAAGAGTCAGATTCATGAGATTGTAGATTTGGGAGTTAGCAGAGTATATTTAAAATCATGGAAGAAGTTGCTCCAGAAACGAACTTGGATAGAAAAGAAACCTAAAATGTGGTGGCACAATCATTACATGAGTTTCAAAGCCAAGAGTTTTTAGGGAGAATGGAAGGACCACAATCTGAAATGGCTGTGAGGAACAGTTAGTACACCCACCTGCCTTCATGCTTAATGACAGTTGTGTTGCGTTAATCCTAGGCTACCATCAAGATTTCGTTTTTAAGCAGTGGGAACCCAAAAATCTTAACACTGAAAGAATTCTACTCTACAAAATAAATGAAAGTGGAATGTGCATAGGGGAAGGAAGGACACTGGCCCTCTTAGCTTCCTCCTCTAGCCTCTCACCCCCTTCCATGGCCCCGGGACATTCCTGCTGCCTCCTTGGAACCCCTTTGAAAACCACTCCCTTCAGTGTTCCAAGATGGATGTGCTAAGAGGCACATCTAATTCTGCTCCTCTTCTAAAAACCCTTTAGAGGTTTCCCATTGTCCTCTCCACAGTTCTAACATAGCCTACCAAGGCGCTTGATGGGCTAACCCCTGATGATTTTTCTTGCTTTCTCTTAGGTCCGCCCACCTTGCATTCTATGCCCCACCCATACTAACCTGTTTCAGTTCCTCAAACTTTTCTGGGCTTTTGCACATGTTGTCCTCTCTGACTAGAATATTTATCTACTAAGACAGTTACTCATCCTGAGGTTTTAATTTGGGCTTCATTTTTTCCTGATAGCTCCCACTTTTCTAATGTGTATCTTCCTACTGTTATATATTTTTCCCATAGCAACCCTTATTTACCCTATCATAGCATTTCCCTTACTTTATAGTTTATATGATTTTTAAAACTCATCTGTTATCCTCACTGGACCGGAAACACCATAGGAGCATGGGCCATGTCTGTCCTTCCCACCGTTGTATCACAGATCCCCTCTCATAAAAGGCACTTAATACATGTTTTTTGATAGTTTGAATAAAGGAAGGAAGGAAGGAATTGTGTTTTCTTAATAATGTGGGGATGTGGGAGACAGTCTAAATTTTGTAACTTATCAGTTATTAAATATGGAAAAAACTAGAAAGTAATATATGGTTAAATTATTTCTATGTAAAAAGCATATTACAATATAAAAGTAGAAATATCTAAATATGAATAATGATTATTAGGATGGTTGAATTAAGTCCTGTTTTCCTTAGTATGTTTCAACTTTTCTGTAATTTCATTTCTGTTATTTAAAATGCTTTAAAGAATCCATTCTAATTTTCTGTGCATTTTTAAGTATCTTAAATATAGCATCTTTAGTTCCTCTGGGTAATTTTGTTCCCAAATTTGACTCAATCCTGGGTAGTTCCCAAAAACTAGAGCACAATCTCTACTAGAAGTAATCTCAAATGCCTTGTTTCTGTACTTCTGCTTTAGCAGATCAAAAAGCTTTCGATTTCTGAAGCTTCTTTTCTTGGAAAAAATAACATACTATTAAAAATAGCAAAGATGATACTGTTGTTTTTATTATTCCTTGTTTAACTTATTAAATGAGCCTTTTCCTATTTCTCAGCTCTCCTGAAACATTTTCATCATTAATACAAAAATAGTACTTAAGTATTAAATATTTGTGAAGTGCTTTTGCATACTCTATCTTCAAGTCCTTGATGGAGCAGCTATTGTAGATAAAGGAACTGAGCTCACAGAAGTTACATAGCTTGCTGAAGGCCACAGCCTTAGAGGTTTACTCTGGGACTAAATCAGTGATTTTCTTGTTCTTAGTAAAGCTTCCTGCATGTAATATCACACAGTAAAATTTTTTCCCTTGTATATATTCTTTTTAAGAATAATTTTATTTACATGTATTTGAGGAACTTACAATGTATTTCTAATTTAAGGCTTTGCCACTGTTAAATCTGGATAAAACCTGTCTTTTTGAATCCTGTTGTGTTAAAAAGCATTTGTTTCTGGCTTGAAGTTATCTGTGTACTGCATTCTGATGCTTTTTTTTTGTTTGTTTCTTGCAGTTGTGCATGCCTAAAGGGCTATCTTTCAGGACACAAACTGACAATAAAGACCCCCAGTTTCACTCATTTATAATTACCAGGGAAGACGGTTCTCGCACTTATGGTTTTGTTCTCACTTTTTATGAAGAAGTTACAAGTAAGCAAATCTGCACAGCAATGCAGACACTCTACCAGATGCACAATGCTGAGCATTACAGCAGCGTGTATGCTTCATCTTCCTGCAGCATGGACTCATTGGCAAGTAGTCTTGATGAAGGAGATACAACTTCCCTTTTGAAACTCCAGCGATACAACTCCTATGATATCAGCAGAGACACCCTGTATGTTTCAAAAAGTATATGCTTGATCACACCGTTACCATTCATGCAGGCCTGCAAGAAATTCCTTATCCAGCTTTACAAGGCTGTTACCTCGCAGCAGCCACCACCCTTGCCACTTGAAAGCTATATCCATAATATTCTTTATGAAGTACCCCTTCCACCTCCAGGGAGGTCACTGAAATTTTATGGTGTTTATGAACCTGTCGTCTGCCAGAGGCCTGGGCCCAGTGAGCTCCCCCTCTCTGATTACCCACTTCGGGAGGCATTTGAACTCCTGGGATTAGAGAACCTGGTGCAGGTGTTTACCTGTGTTCTTTTAGAGATGCAAATCCTTCTCTACTCACAAGGTAGGTCTTCCTTGGATTTTACATTTTCCAAAAAGAAATACTTATGCTCCCAACTACTGTGTTTCCATGGGATATATTACTAGGACCAAATAAATAATGATCACGGTCTTTTCTGTTTTGTATAAAGGAAGCAGGAATGGTGGGACCAAAGGCTGAGATGAGACTGTGCTGTTTCTCTTTGAGGTGGCAGTTAGTGACTGCAGAGAGAAATAGGAAGGAACACAAATGTTAACTTGGCTGATTTGGGTATGTTTATTTCTTAATGGAAATAGCCCTTTTTTCTTGACAATATATAATTGTCATTAAGAAAACATTATTTTGGGTGGGCGCGGTGGCTCATACCTGTAATCCCAGCACTTTGGGATGCTCAGGTGGGTGGATCACAAGGTCAGGAGATAGAGACCATCCTGGCTAACACAGTGAAACCCCGTCCCTACTAAGAATACAAAAAATTACCCAGGTGTGGTAGCATGCACCTGTAGTCCCAGCTACTAAGGAGGCTGAGGCAGGATAATTATTTGAACCCAGGAGGTGGAAGTTGCAGTGAGCTGAGATCGTGCCACTGCACTCCAGCCTGGGCAACAGAGTGAGAATCTGTCTCAAAANAAAAAAAAAAAAAAAAAAACATATTTCTTTTTAATAATGAGAGTGAGAGAATTCTGTTACTACCAGAAATGTTTAGACTTCCCATTCTTTATGGATTAGTAAAAGTTCACATCAAAACTCAGCAAACACTGAAAAGGGGTAAATGAAAATGTTGACTCTGCAGCTTCCTGAGGCAATCAGCTTTGGATCTTTGCCTGTGGGAGCATTTCATCTGAGTGAGAGAAAAGGTGAGCAGGCATGAGACAGATGACTTTCCCAGGTCTAACAGTTCTGCCAGAGTTGCGTATGTGTGTGTGTGTTTTTTTGTTTTTGTTTTTAATCTCAAAAGGAAGTTATCTTTGTGGTGTCTTTCATTCAGAGTTCTCCCAACACATATTTAAGAAACTAACAAGCTATGGATTTTATCTTACCAGTACATTTGTGATGACCAGTGTTGAGTGTAGACTAGGATACTAGTTCTCATATGAATATGAATGTATAGAGAAAATAGAGATGCTGTATCTTAATGCATAGTGAATTGAAGGAAATTACAAAATAGTACCTGTGCCTTGATAGATTCTTTGAAAAATGTTATACAAATATTTGGATTAGCTTTTTTTTTTAGACAAGGTCTCACTCTGTCACCCAGGCTGGAGAGCAGTAGTGCAGTCATGGGTCACTGCAACCTCAACATCCCATGCTCAAGCTGTCTTCCCACCTCACCCTTCTGAGCAGCTGGTACTGTAGGAACATGCCACCACACCTGGCTAATTTTTTTATATTTTGTAGCGATGAACTCACACTGTTTTGCCTTGGCTGGTCTCAAAATCCTGGGCTCAAGTGATTCTCCCACTTTGGCCTCCCAAAGTTCTGGCATTACAGGCATGAAGCACTGCTCTCAGCTAGGGTTAGCATTTAGCTAACTTGTATTTAAGCTGGCAGAATTGTAGTGCAATTCCCTGACTGGTACTGTCAAGCTTATTTTACCACTTTCCTTTTTTTATTTTTCTATTTTAAATTATAAGTGGGGCTGAGCCAAGTAGAGTATATTTGTACTTCCCCATCTTGTGTGTATGTTGACACTATTTGTGTTGACAGCCATTCACAAGGTTGTATTTTCTTCAGTTTATCCAACATAATGTTCTTTGATAATGTGTTCCATGTCTCAGTTTTTGTTGTCAGGAAGTTATTCTCTAATGACCAGTCTCAATTCTTTACTTCCTTCTTTCGCCCACTTTCTTTTTTTTTTTTTTTTTAATATATTTAAAATATATTTTAATGAAACACTTTCTCATCATCTTTAAATAAAAAAACAATTTCCATTTTTAAATCTGAAGCTCCTCAGGCATTAGGACTTAACTGCTTTCTGCTCCACATATTTCAGATGCCACTGTGCCACTGCATTAATTCCCCAGTGCTCTGGAGTCAGAGCTTAGACATGTCCTCCTCAGTTGGAAGTCCTTGTGGCAACTTCAGGGGCTTGATTCTTACCAACTGTTTAACCACTGTCAGTTTTGCATTCACTGAAGAGATATGCTTGTGAACTTGAGGGGTATATGTGTTTTCTAATCTGAGCATCTGTATTATATCTTTTTCCCAATATGGACAGCTTTTTGTATTTTTTTTTATTGTGATAACAATATACAGTTTATGAGTATTCTGCGGATCTCCATCATATTTTTCATGATCTGCAAGTGAAGGCTGAAACACTTTATATGGAATTCTTTACCTGGTAAATTTGTGATTTTACCAATGAGAGATTTCACACCTTTTGTCCCAGTCTGTAGTTCATTTTGCCTCTGAACTACTGAGAGCAAAATCCCTGTCATAAGTGTAGTGACTTCTCTTTAGAGGCAGCACCTGCTAAATGTTCAGCATGAACCTTCCCACCAGCAGAAGCTGAGGACTCACTCCTTCCATCATTACTTATGGATCACCTTTTTGTATCTGAAAAAGTTTATTTTAAGTAATTCTCTCTTCTTTTCCTCCTTTTTTTCCCCTGAATGGGGTAGGGATTAGAGAATTGATAGAAGGGACAGAAGCTTAGAGCTTAATACCCTCAGGTGTTTTAGCCCATTAGAAAAAGAACTTTTTTTTTGTTTTTTCAAGACAAAGTCTTGCCCTGTTACTCAGGCTGGAGTGTAATGGCATGATCTCAGCTCACTGCAACCTCTTCTTACTGGGTTCAAACGATTCTCCTGCCTCAGCCTCCTAAGTAGCTGGGATTACAGGCCCCCACCACCACACCCAGCTCATTTTTGTATTTTTAGTAGTGACAGAGTTCACCATGTTGGCCAGGCTGGTCTCAAATTCCTGACCTTGTGATCCACCTGCCGCAACCTCCCAAAGTGCTGGGATTACAGGCATAAGCAACTGCTCTCGGCCAAAAAAAGAACTTTATATTCTAGACTTAGAAGAAATCTTAAAGGCCATTTTATTGAATCTTAAAGTTCAGTTTATTTATGTTTTACCCAGAGAAGCAATTTGGGTTAGAAAGAATATTGGGGGTGGCCAGTTCTTTGGTTTTTGGGTTTCATTTTTAGAGATGGGGTCACATTGTGTTGCCCAGGATGGAGTACTGTAGCTATTCACAGGCACAATCATGGCACACTGCAGCCTTAGACTCCTTGGCCCATACCTTTCACCTCAGCCTCCTGAGTAGTTGAGACTACAGGCACATACTACCATGCCTGGTTTAGAGTTTTTGAAATCATAACAATTGTGGGTTCAAATATCTACTCTGTCATTTATTAACTATACCCATGGGTGAGTTAGGCAATCCTGTGTGACAGTTGCGTCATCCCTGTAGGGTTAATAGTTGGGTATTTTTTTTTTCTCCTTTCTCACCGATTTATTATGATGATTAAAATAATACCTATGTAAAATAGTTAAGAGTATAACTGACACTGACTAAATGATAGCTATTATAATAATTAGTTGTATTAGTCCCATATAATCTTCTGTAAATTATACTTATCTCTAAGTTGTGAAGGTTCAACGTGCTACATTTAACATAAAAGGTTTTTTTTTTTTTTTTGAAACGGAGTCTCACTTTGTCGCCCAGGCTGGAGTGCAGTGGCGAGATCTTGGCTCACTGCAACCTCTGCCTTCTGGGTTCAAGTGATTCTTCTGTCTCAGCTTCCCGAGTAGCTGGGACTATAGGCATGCACCGCCATGCCCAGCTAATTTTTGTATTTTTAGTAAAGACGGGGTTTCACCATATTAGCCAGGCTGGCCTCGAACTCCTGACCTCATGATCTGCCCACCTCAGCCTCCCAAAGTGCTGAGATTATAGACGTGAGCCACCGTGCCTGGCCTTAATGTAAAACTTTTTAAAATTATACAGCCAAGAGTTTATTTATTCCAGAGTTGAGAACCTAATAAAAATGTTCTTTTACATTGGGTACCATGCTTTTTTTAGAAGGCAAAAACCAAAAAACCGAAAGAAAAAAAAAAAAAAAACCTTCCATTACCACACTTCCTCTTTTATTTTTTATTTTTATTTTTTAATTGAGACGGAGTCTTGCTCTGTCGCCCAGGCTGGATGAAGTGCAGTGGTGCAACCTCCGCTCCTGGGTCCTAGTGATTCTTGTGCCTCAGCCTTCCAAGTACCAAGGACTACAGGTGCACACCACCATGCCCAACTAATTTTTTTTGTATTTTTAGTAGAGATGAGGTTTTGCCCTGTTGACCAGGCTGGTCTCAAACTTCTGACCTCAGGGGATCTGCCTGCCTCAGCCTCCCAAAGTACTGGGATTACAGGTGTGAGCCACCGTGTCCGTTCCACGCTTCCTCTTTTAAATAGCACTTTATGGTTCACTGTTTGTGGTCTGTCCTGAGCTCTCCTGTTTCTGCTTTTTAGTTTGTTTGTTTTGAGACAGGGTCTCACTGTGGCACCCAGGGTGGAATGCAGTGGCATGATCATAGCTCACTGCAACCTCAAGCTTTAGGGCTCAAGCAAGCTTCACCCCTCAGCCTCCTGAGTAGCTGGGACTACAGGCATGCACTACCACACCTGATTAATGTTTTCTATTTTTAGCGGAAATGAAGTCTTACTACACTGCCCCGGCTGGTCTGAAACTCCTGGGCTTAAGCGATCCTCCTGCCTCAGCTTCCCAAAGTGCAGGGTTTACAGGTGTGAGCCACTGCTTAGCTTGTCCCATTTGGTTTTATGGAGTTTGTTCAGGAGTTTTAGTTCATTAATACCTACCAATTTATTCAAATGAAGAATAAGCATTTATGGATATGGTTTTATACGCTTTTTTTTTGTAATTTGTATGCTGAGAACAGTAGTTCATCCTGAAATTATAGAGCTAGATTTTTTTTAAATTTAAAGTGTCATACCCAAAAAAAGTGCCATACAGTAAATTTATAACCATTCACTAAAATCACTCTGTGTTAGGAATTGTACTACA